GCTTTGAAAGAAATCATGAGGGAAGCTTTAAATCAGCTGTTTATTTTTAGGCTCCCCCACAAAGACTATTTTATTTTTACTTCCTGAAGAGAAAAAAAAGGAAAGCAAAGAAGAAGAAGAAGCTCTTCTCCCAGCTTGCGTATTCTATTTAATGGTTTTGGCAGGTGGAGTAATGGGCGAGTAGGAGGGAAGTGATAGAAAGGCATCATCTCTCTCTGTTTTTAAACCAAGTGAGGGAAGAAAAAAGACGGAAGCGCATCACATCCACACACCAGGACAACAGATTTTACTGAATGACTCGCGAATGTATTTAAAATCTCTCTCAGTGTTTATTCCTTTTCAGAACTGCATCCGTTTCATGTTTCGATTCACCGCTTTTGAGTTCTACTGTTGGCCGAGCCTGTTTTTCTTTCTTTCTTTTTGTTATAAGCGGACTGAGAGGACAGTCTGACCAATAAAACCGGGAGCCTCGCGGCGACTGGTAGAATGTAAATGTGCACGTCGCCAGCCTCTTGGTGACTTCCTGCTGCAAGTCATCACTATCGACTGACTGTTCGACTCAGTGTCGTTATCGATGATCATTATTGTGTGTATTTAAAACTAACTTTGAATAGTTGAATTTGTTGGGTAGATATCGAACCTAAACATGTGGACATTCCAACATTTCTGGAGTTTTTGGATCAGCCGAGTCGGGGGAGGGGAGGAGGTTCAGTTTTGAGATGTGTTTTGAACATTATTGCATGCTTTTTTCATTTTAACGCGAAGGTTCTGCGAATGTGGCGTGCGCGTATGTGTGCGTGTACGTGTGCGTGTATGTGTGCGTGAAGCATGTGTTCATTGTGAGAGCTCACTATTTCTTTTCAGTGTAAAAACACATGACTGTATTTTGTCAGGTAACTCAGTATCGCAATAAAAAAAATTGCAATATCCGTTCGCCGTGTGGTTACGGTGAGTGAAGCGCTGGAGTGGGGTTGGGAGTGTTGACGGGTGCAGATTTAACCACCAGATGGCAGCAAATACTAACACTGTCATTTCACACCTTCACATCAATTTCTGACTTTGAGTGTTGAGACTTATCACTGACTATTTAGTAATTCATGTATTAATCCATTAATTAACCCATTAAGCCAAGTCCTGCTTTTGGATTTATTATCATGTTATTTAAAAGGTCTCATAAAAAAAAGGAAAAAAAGATTAAATTATATTTTTTAAATGAAAGGCACTAACATCTGCACTCATTGGTCACTAGTACCAGGTTGGAGCCGTTTTCCTTCAGAGCTGCTTTAATACTTCATGGCACAGATTCCTCGGGAATGTCGATCCATGTTGACATGACAGCATCACACAGTTGGTGCTCATCCATGATGAGAATCTCCTCCTCATCCACATCCCAAAGGTGCTCTGTCGGCCTGAGATCTCATGGCTGTGGAGGTCATTTGAGTTCAGTGGACCCACTGTCATGTTCAAGAAACCGGTTTCATCTGAGCTTTGGGACATGGTGTGTAGCAGCAATAAGGAGATGCTGCACTGTGGCCATAAAGGGATGGACATGGTCAACATCAGGCTGTGGGGTTTAAATGATGCTTAGTTTGTACTAAGGGGTCCAAAGTGTGCCAACAAAATGTTCCCCCACATTAATGCACCTCGAGCCTGAAACATTAATGAATCCACGTTTGTTCCAAATTCTGACCCTCCTTTCCAAAAGTCAGAGCAGAGCTTGATACGCATCAGACTAAGTAACACATTTCTCATCATCTGTTGTCCAGTTTGAATTGTAGCCTCAGTTTTGTGTTCTTAGCAGACAGGAGTGGCACCTGGTGTGGCCTTCTGCTGATGTAGCACATCTGCTTCCAAGGCCAGTGTGTTGTGGATTCAGAGATGCGCTTCTGCATACCTTACTTACACTTACTTACTAAGCAATCTGGCCTATTCCTCTCTGACTTCAGGCCTGAACAAGACATTTTTACGCAGAGATCTGCTGCGCACCGGATATTTTCCTTTTTTTTTTCAGACTGTACTCTTTAAACCACAGAGATGTTTTTGTGGGAAAATCCTAATAAATCACCAGTTTCTGAAATACTCAGACCAACAACCATGACACATTCAAAGCCACTTAAATCACATTTCTTCCTCATTCTGATGCTCAGTTTGAAGTTTTGCAGGTTGTCTTCATCATGTCTATATAGCTGAATGCATTAGCTTGCTGCTATTTGATTGGCTGATTAGTTACTTGCAGCAATGAGCAGCTGAACTGGTGTACCCAGTTAAGACAGTGTATGTACCCAATATTATATATATGACAGAAGTAACAGGTCACATTTTGCATCATTTTTCATTGCTTACAGCAAGGAATATGTACAATAAAAAACAATTCTGTTTGACATTTATTTAAAAAACAAACAAACAAACCCACAGATAAATTCTTTACAGGTTTTTTTTCCACTCAAAACATTCAAATGTTCAGCCTGTATTTGCCAGTCCATTGAACATTTATTTTTACAGATAATAAGAAGAATCTCTCAGAACGGGAGGAGCAACAAATCAGGAATCAAACTGGGACCGAGGCAAAATGAGCAGCACCAAAGGGCGGAAACACAGGTGTTATAACAAAGGCCAAACTATAAATACACTGAGAAGTGACAAACAGGTGAGGAACGAGATGCAGGTGAGAGTAACACACAATCAGTCACAGTCGGGGCTTTGGGGAGGGCAGACTGGAAGCTATACGAACATTCACAGTTAAACAGATAAAAATAACCCCAGAGACCTACACAGACCCGCATACACACTGAACAAGTCAGGAGTAAGGAAACACAAAGGGAGGAACAACCAGGAACCCTTGGGAGGCTGCCACTAATAAGAATAATAACATACATCAACCAAAACTAAGATTAAAGTGCAGGGAAAAAAGCACAAAAGACCTAAACTAATAGTTTATATGAGCCAATAATAAAAGTTAAACTTTTGATAATAACAATAAGCTAACACCAACAACCATATAAACAGAGTAAAGAAAAGAGGATCCCTGCGATTAGATGCCAAGC